GGTAACAGGGCTGATACTATCCCCGTCTTTCAGGAACAGCAGGGGGGAGAGGAAAGCCTAAGGCCAGAGAAGCATTGCAGCAAGGAGAAATACACGTCAGGGAATTGTAGTCTGAAGAGACCCCAGCATGGGAGGCATGTCTCGGGCTTCGAATGAGTCATCACGCGTGTCCTCGCACGGGCCTCACGCAAGCGTTCCACCGGCCTTTTTCGGCTTTACCCCCCGAAAGCACCCATCATCCCCAAACAGGGACAACCTCTGGAGGACCAAGGGGCACGTACCGGCGTCGCGGATTCGATAGGTGTGGAAAAAGAGGGGCGCGCAGGCCGTCAGCTTCAAAGGACTGCGACCGGGCTGGGACTCCGGGGGGACGTACAAGTGGTTCCCGCTGTGGACAGGCGCAAGGAGAAAAACGTCAAGCCATGCGAATGTCACGCGAAAGCAGCGAGCAAGCGGAAAGGACGTTTTCAAGCGCATCGATACCCGGACCTACCTACCGCATGTCTAGGATGTAAAGCTCCTCGGGCAGGATCCGCTCCTTCTGCACCCCGGACGGCGTCATAAAGACCCGGTTCCCCTCCCGAATGCTGATGCTTCCCCCCGTGCCCGTCACCCAGCCCAGGTCATAGAACTGTCGACACAGGTCCACAATCAGCTGCCGGGTGCCCCCGTCTTGCCCCCTCCGTTGCGTCCACACGGCCATGGCCCGCCGCTCGTCCGCCGGAGATGCGAACCGGTAGGTCTTCACGGAGAACGCCGACCCCCCCTTCCTACCCGCACCGTTGCTGGCGGCCTTACTCACGCCATTGCTCGGATCGGGCCTGGAAGCGATGGCCACGTCTACGTGGATGTCCTCTGTGGTTGGGACTAGGCGACGCCATACCGAACTGGGCAATGTGAGCCGGTCCTCTTTAAACAAGAGTACCCGGATCCAGGCATCCGCGCTGTCCCGAACATCTATGTACACTTGTCCGCCAACGACATTAAAGTCTTGCACTTCACTTACTGCGCCCATGCAGTGCTCGCGCCCAAACTCCTGCGTGAGGTGGGATTCAGAGTGAGGGCCAGAAGAACCAAAACTCGTTTTGTCGCACTCACAGGCAGGATAAACACAGCATCGTAGGTCTGTCCTACTATTCAATTACCGCATTTTACATTGCTGCTAGGATATATGAGCCG